GCTTTACATTTGCTCTGCTGGAGTCGCCAGCTATGAGCATAGAATGCAGACAGACCCCTGACCAAGATCTCAATGAGAGGCCTTTACCGAAAGGGCTCTCAACGCATCATTCAAATTTGCCTGCAATGCCAGACCCCAGTCACTGCCCTCCCCCCATTAGCAGGGGGGAACCCAGGCCAGTGGCTTCAGAGAACACCAGGTCCCCTTCCGCAAACACTCCAGTGTGTCCCCAGGTGAGCAGGAAGCAACAGAAAACAAGGAAGGAGGGACACACAGGGTGGGACCTGATCTCAGTGAGCCCGGAACAACCTTTGGCCACCAGCATCCCTATCAAGCTGCTTATCAGCTACAGCAGCCTGGCACACCTTTCCCAGGGTCTGTATGCAAATCGGATGCTAACAGGCCTCCCACCGAGCCCTCTAGGAGGCTGGGCAAGACCATGGTTGGATGGTCCAAGGAGGCCAACCTCAGAGGTACTTGAGAAAGAACTTTCTACTCACTGGCGTCCTCCAACCAGAGTGGGATTCGGCAGGCAGGCCACGGGCCCGGCACAGAGGTGTACAGTTACTTTACGGTCCTATCTTCCAGGTGTTGGTGCTCACTACATTCCAGACACAGTCTGAGCATGTCCCAGGGACTGTCTCATGCCATCCTCACAGCCGTCCTCACACACCTTTCCTCGTAGGCAGCACAGTCAACGTCGGCGCTGCCCCCATCACCATCTGCATTGCCATGATTATCACCACAGCCATGATTATCATCACACTGTCCCTCTGCCTCCACACCTGCATCTCCATCAGCAATATCCTGTCCTGGCTCACGGTGGGGTGACTGCTACTGGGTCCCTGAAATCGCACAGTGGGTGCACGGCTGACCTCATGCCAGCAGGAGGCTGGGGCTCCAGGTGCTTCCATTCTGCCGGGATGGCCTACAATTTGGAAGGTCCCTTCTTGGAAACATGCTGACACACTTTTCTGTGACAACACAGGGGGCAAAGGTGAATCTGTTGAATTGTTAGTTATTATGATTATTCTTTCTTTGGGAAGAATAAAAAACCCCAAACGAAGGTCATTCCTGTTGGGCTGAGTCAGCATGGAGCACTTTGGAGCAGCTGAGGTGGCCACGCTGTTCACTACCCTAGAGCCGGACTGGTGGCTGCAGCGAGAGGGTGGCACCCCCAGGCCATGTGTGAGTCAGAGCTCCCGGGGCTGGGTCTCCCCTGCGGGTCTGTGCATCCCAAGTTGTCCAGCACAGTCATGACTTCTAACACCCTGCTCTGCTCTTTTTTTAAAATTCATTCCTACTCACCAGCCCGTGTGGCTCAGAGCTTTGAAAACCACAGTCACTGTGATAGCATCGCGGTGCTCCCCTCACTGTGTCCTAGGCGGGATTAACAGATGGCAGGTCCCCTCCATCCTTGGGAACAAAGTGGGGAGGAACATAGTGGGATCTGCTGGGTGTCCTGAAGCTCCATCAGCCATTTGATGGGCTAGCGCCACTCTCCAGCTGGATGAGTGGCCAAGGAAAGTCATGAAAATCAGACTGTCTCAGCTGCCTCCAACAGGGACAAGAAGGGCAGATGCCCAGGACAACTTGGGTTCCTGTTTGGGGGCCACGGACCTTCTGGGGGATACGATGGAAGCTATGCGCACCATCACTGGGAAAATCCCCACTCCCACACCGGTCCGCAGGGGCGCGTGGGCCTGTGGGGAACATCCACGCCCCTGGAACAAGAAGCCTTATTTGTGGGAGAAAGCCTCGCACACCAGCAGCTCGGCGACAGCAAAGCCAGGGAAGCACCCATGGGCCTGGGCCAGAGCTCTCCTGCGGGCCGCGTGCTGGCAGAGAGGGCTGACCAGCTCAGTCCGGAGAGCTAGGTGTGAGGGAAAGCATGGGAGAACCAGAGAGCCTAGGATCTTACGCCCAGAAGATAGTCAGGGAGTAACGGGTCCCTCGGTCCTGAACCGGACGTCAACTCTCCACATGAGATGCAGAGCAGATCTCAGCACAAACCCCAGCATCCTCGTGCTGGGTAAGGCTTTGAGGTCCTTAACTGTGGCGTGGACAACTACACTCACAGCAAGCCTGCAGCCTGCAGGCACCCTTCCCGAATAAAGGAGGCGGCCGAGTCCATCTCTGCTGCCGACTGGATGAGCAGTAGGAGGAAAGACACCCAAAGCTGAGAATCACCCCAAGTTCCAGACTCTTATTAAGCATGAGGATCAAGACGTTCTGGGTTCCCAGAGCAGCCAGCAGCTGGCACAGGGAGGAAATCATCACACGCTGGAGGAGTTCTGAGCGCCAGGAGGGTCTGACAGAGAGGAGGGGGTGACAGCTGAGAGAGACGTGGGGCTGTGCTGCAGAGGCCTGGAGAGGACCTCGCTGTGCCACTGCTGCGCCTTCAATGTGACTGACGAACTTTTCCAATGCTTTCATTTCTCCAAAACCCACATCCCCTGTCCCCACAGCCCATTTTCTCACATTGCAACTTGTCAGATGATAGGCAGGGGCGGGGAGCATCCGGACCACGGCCACATAAGGCCCTTGAAATCATTCGGTCTGGCCCTGCCAAGGCATAGGGGTGAGCTAATTAAATGTTTGGCCGAATATAGCAGGCTAATGTTTAAGTTGATAATTTTGTATGGCCCTCGAATGATAGTTATAAATATCCAAATGACCCTTGGCAGGAAAAAGGTCCCCACCCCTGGTTTAAAGATAACAAATGGACCAGTCTACATATCAAGGAATGGTTTGGGGAAGGAAGGAAGCAAGGAAAGAATAAAGGAGAGAGGGAGGAAGGGAGGAAAGGAGGAAAAGAGAAAGACCATCTGGAAAAATCTTCCTTATAAAAATAATTTTGCTTGTCTAACTTCAAACTGCTCAAGTCTGGCTATTGTCATTTTTGTTTCCCTAGTAGTTCACCGGACTCCCAAACACCGTATTTAATCCCTCTCCTCGTGTTTAAAATGGCCAGGGTCAGGGAGAGAGGAAGATGTAAATCACACAGCAAGGGAAAGTTAGCACGCTGGCTGTCCGGGGAAAGTCAAAGACCCAGGCTTTGCCGTGGCATGCAAACCACTGGAAATTAGGGGGCAGGGTTCCCACAGGGCGGGGGGCTGCCTAGCCTCCGGTGCATGTCAGGGATCAGTGATGGCTGGGGGCTCTGGAACGGGCAGAGAACCAAGGTGGTCTCCCAATTCTCTCCTCTTCCCTCCTGCTCCCCTCTGCCCCAGCCCCCTGCCCCTAACTCCTGGGCTTCCTTCTTTCTCCTAGATGAATCCACAGCTTGGGAGACTTGCCAAGGCAAGACTCAGCCCCACGGCTGACCGCCCTGAGTGCTGGGTTCTGAGACGCTCATTTAGCCAGATCGCAATGCCAGGAGGATCAGAAGCGTGACAAGTGTCAGGGTGATGGGGCTCTAAGAAAAGCTGACCCTGACCACTCTCAGGGGCAGAAGGCAATCGCTGGCAGCCTGGTCTGGGAGCCCCTCAAAGGGAAGCCAGCAGGGCGGCCGCCATCCTCTCTGCTGCGGACTGGCTGTGTGTAGGAGCGCACACAGCCCGGCAAGCCCGTTCAGCACCAGGAAGGGCTATGTGATTTGCGGGGCCCAGGATGAAATGCAAGTGTGGACCCTCTGGCTCAGAAATAATTAAGAAGTTCAAGAGTAAACAACAGAGCATCAAACCGCGGGTGGACCCTTCCGCGCCCGGGAGCCGCGCCTGAGTCCAGGTTGCTGGGTGAGCTGCCCCGCCTGCCATTCTGGCATAACGCGGGGGGGGGGGGGGGGGGGGGGTTCCGCATCTATCCCAGATGTGGTGAGAGGTCTCACTGAAAAGTCACCTGGTTTGAAAGACATCCGATCCCTGGGCTTACCCTGCTCTGAACTTCCTTCTCCAGGAGTCCATGGAACAAGGTGGCAAGCAAGCCCATCAAAGGGGTCACCCGGATGCTCAGAGGTGAACTGACTTGGGGATGGAGGAAACCATGAGAGGCATGAATCAATGTGGCTCCCAATACAGTGAAAGCCTTGCCTTTCGGCCCAGGTTTCGCGTTCACAGCAGCCAGTGGAGAATGTCCAGCAGGGAGCCGGGAGTCCTGGGAGATCCCAAGACCACGCAGGGTATGAAGGCACCAGATTTAAGGGACCAGGAGGGCAAGGCCCAGCCCTCCCGCTGCAGGACGGAGCTCCACCTCTTGCTGGGTCCCCTGCCAGCCCAGTCCCATCTGTAGGTCAGGGTGTGACCTGCATCCCCTGGGAGGGCTGGCCCAGGAGAAACAGGTCCTCTGCCCCAGGGAGTGAGCGGGGAAGCCAGCAGCCCCGCCCAGCAGAGCACTGCCATGGCCTGGGCGAGGGTCAGCTTTAGGGAGGGCAGACCAGGACCGAGAATCCTTAGGGCCTGTCTGCAGCAGGGGGTGCAGGGGCCACAGGAGCCAGCACAGGGAGGGTCCCTCCGCCTCTGCCCCTAAAAGGAAAGGAGCCTGGGGAATCTCACCCTGACCTGCCAACCCTGCAAGCCCCCATCCACCCCTCAGCCCCCTACTCCCCACCCACCCACCCCCAGTTCCCTGTTCCCTGACCACAGGCTGCTCTCAAGGAATTTGAAACTCCTTGGAGCCTGACAGGGTCAGCAGCAGGGATGGCCCCGCAGCCCCTGGGGCAGGAGATACTTTTGGGGCTTCCTCTGCCTCAGCGGGCTTCTCAGGTATCTAATCCCTCTGGCTGGCTCCTTTCACCAGGAGGGGGGCTCCCCTTCCACTGGAGCAGAAACTCTGGGGTTGGGTTTCTCCCAGTCCAGGCTCTCCCAGGGGATGCGGGCCACACCCTGACCTACAGATGGGACCAGGGTGGCAGGAGACTCAGCAAGAGCTGGGCTCTGGGCCAGGGCAGGCTCTGGGCTGACGGGGCTGGGGTGGGACCAGGTCCTCTGGGATGTGAAGCTGTAGCTTGGCACAGGAGCCCCTCCCCCCCAGGCACATCGCCACCCCCAGGGCTCACTCACTCAGGGGTATTGATCCAGATGATGTCCAGGTGGCAATAGTAGACGCACTCCTTGTCCTTGTAGGTGAAACACGTGCAGCGTCTGGCTCGGCGGCGTGCAGGGCTCCCCTTGGCCACCTGCTCCCCAAACCAACCTGGTCCCTGCTCCTGCCCAGGGCTCCGGGGACTTGAACCCTGCGCTGCAGTCCTGGCCACGGTCTCAATGTCCCCCTCCAAACTGGCTGCAGGCTGGGTGCCAGGCACCAATCCTGCAAGAGGCAGATTGAGGGGGCCCCTGAGCTCCTGAGTGTGCATGCCCCCGCCCCCGCCTCCGCTTCCAAAATCCTGGCAGAGGAAGACCCCAAACTTTCTGCAAGGTTTGCAAGCTAGTTGCACTTTCCAGAAAGTCTCCAAGCAACACCAAATGTTCTGAAAAGTTTGCAAAGCTATGTGCCCAGTTTCCGAAAGTTCTCAAACTCTGTGCGCACTCCAGCTTGCAAGCTATTTTCCCTTTCTGCAAAGTCTGCAAGCTATTGCACCCGCTGGGAACTTGCAGGCATTTTGCACGCTTTCTCAAAACGTTGCGATCATTTTGCAGTTTCTGAAAGGTTTGCAAAGTTTTTGAAAAGTTCCCAATTTAATGAAAAACCGACCGAGGCGGCTCAGGCCACAGGTCTCCAGTCTGTGCATGGGCTACATGCAACCTCCAGAGCCCCTGAGGTAGTCCGTGCTCCCGCTTCGGCCCCCAACCTTCCCCCAGGAGCTTCCAGGGACGGCGAGCCCAGGCAAAAGGCTGCTCCCCGCAATGCACCCTTCCCCGCGCCCCCCAAGCCCAGCGTCCTTTTGTGTGCGCTGGCGCCAGAAGAGGCGCCCCGCCCCGCCCCGCTTTTACCTGCAGCGGAGGTCACTGTGAGCCCGAAGAGTAGCCACAGCCCCAGCTCCATGAACCCCGATCAGGCGCGGGAGCACCGGGCCTGGAGGACGCACTCCTGTGGCCCCAGAAGGGCTCTCGGGCCTCACCCTCCAGCTGTGGGGTTTGCGGAGGGCCTCTCACTTGCTGGGTCCCCGCTCCCGCCAGGAGTTGGCTGCAGCGGTCACAAACTCACAAACTTCAGAGCACGCTGCCCATCCCTGCGCACGGCGCCGGCTGTGGGCTCAGGCTTCTCTGGCTCCGCACCACCCCCTCGCCTCCCCGCCCCCAGAGGGCTGGAGCTGCGCGCGGGGCCTTTGAACCCGGCGCTCCGGGGGTCTCCTAGCGCTGAGGAAGCGCTCTGAGCACAGCAGCCCCGCAGCGCACCCAGCACGGCAAGGGGTGGGGGCGGCGCGCAGGCGGGTGCGGTGGGGTGGGGGCCGTACAGCTGCTGGGAGGCCACGCGAACACACACACACACACACACACACACACACTCACACACAGACACACAGACAGGGCACACACTTGCATTCACACTGCCTCTGCTTGCTGCTCTGCTGCCCCAGGACCTGCAGCTCCCACCCCCAGAGGACCAGGCAAGAGAGAAGGTTGCTGCAGAAAGGCTGCTACCTTCCACCTCAGGCTAAGGGAAAGCGACATGTCTCACTGTTCACCTGAGGACACCTTACCGTCCTTGCACAAGGCCTGCCTGCCAGGGCCCTGGCCGTACTTTACACTCGTGACTCAGGGCACTGGCTTGTCTCCCTGCCTCTCCCAGGTGCTCAGAGCCAGTGGGTGTGGGCACTGGCTGAGAGCAAAGTCAACCAGGCAGGGTTAGCGGTCCTGGAGTGGCCTGGACTTGCTTATGGACCCTGCACAGAGGGGTGGCTTCAGAGAGAGGCAAGTCCCCTCCTTCAGAGTCCACGTCCTGGTGGCTCTCGGCTCTCCCAGCCCACCTGGGACCTGTCTTGGGCATGGAGCATGCCCAGAACAGGAGGGCTGGTCTAGTTTGTTCTTTACCAAGGCCATTTGTGCTGAGAACTGTCCATGGGCACATAGGAAGTAGTCACGAAAGATTTTTGGGTGAATGGATGGATGAATGAATGCTTCCCATGGATTAGGCCCTGGATGCTGACTCCTGAGGACACCAAGAAGCCCTTATCGTCCCTCCTTAGCAGCGTTCCCTGACCAGAGGGAGGGACCATAAGGAGGGGCAGTGCTCCCAATGTCATCGGGCAGTTGCCTCCTGGCCACTGCCTACCTCACCTGCTTGGATTGGATTGGAGGTGGCCTCCCAGGGGAACCCAGGACACAGCAGGGAGTCACGGGCCACGGGGAGGAAGAGAAACAGGTCTGAGGCCCTGTAGCTGCTCCTCATGTCTCAGGCCATTTTCGACTTAAAACATATCTGAAACCCTTTGACACTCCTGCCATAAAATGTGGCGTTGAATACCACCCCCATCCTCTTTAGCCTGAATGACCCACTTCTAAAAAGCAGTGAAACAAAAGTGATAAGAATGACTTCTGGGAGAAAGTCATAAAAGGTGCTACAATTTTCATCTGGCTCTCGGGACATGTGTCCTCTGGATTCAGCTGCCATGCTGGGAGGAAGCTCAAACAAGCCCCCACGTGGCGCATCTACATGGAGATGGGAGAAACCTACATGGAGAGACACTGAGCTCTCCCAGCCAACAGCCAACGCCAACCACTAATATGTAAATGAATGAGCCTCAGATGACTGGAGGCCCCAGCCTTCAAAACGTCCAACTGAGGACTAGCTGCCCCAACTGTGCCTGTGTGAATTCTGACCCACAAAACCCATGGGCATGATGAATGGTCGTTTTGCACCACTCAATTTTGGGTGACTTGTTGCAGAGCCATTGTAACTAAAATAGTAGTCAAGCACCAGCTCAGTGCCCTGCCCAGGCCCCTCCCATTCTGCCCAGTCCTTGAGTCCAAGTCAAGGAGTGGAGAGCGATTGACACCTCTTAGAGGGTCACTTGCCGCCCAAAGGACAGGGTTCTGTAGGGGCTTCTGCTTTATTTTCTGTGCTCCATATTTTGAAAATTAGAAAAATCCCAAAGTGTTTCTTCTGGGAGTAACTTCTGCTCCACTGGACTAGGATTTGGATCACTTAATTATTATCTACTAGAGGCCTCGTGCACTGGGGGGGGGGGGGGGGGGGCCTAGTTCCCTCAGCTTGACCCACACCCTCTCGCAGTCTGGGACCCCTTGCTCCTTACAGCCCGCCTACTCGCTGATCCTTACCTCTCGGCTCAGGGTTCCTTAGCACTGCTGCAGAGGTGGGAGAGGCTCCTGCCACTGCTGCTGTGCTCGCCAGCCATGAGCCTGGCTTCTGGCTGAGCAGCGCTCCCCGTTGAGCATCTGCCCCCTGGTGGTCAATGCACACCACAGCCACCGGTCGTTCTGGTTGTTCTGCTGTAATAGTTGCTTAGGCTTTTATTATATAGACTAGAGGTCTGTTGCAAGAAAAGATTCGTGCAATAGGCCTTCCCTTCCCCTGGCTGCCAGCACCGGTTTTCCTCCGGCACCCGGGACCCAGGCCTTCTCTTCGGATAGAGCCTTCAGTCTTCATGGCTCCGGACAGAGCCTTGAGTCTTCACTCTGCCACTTTGCCCCTACATATGCAAATTAACCATCATCTTTGTTGGGTTAATTTGCATACTCCCCTGATTGGCTGGTGAGTGTAGTGGAGGGATGGTTAATTTACATGTTTGTCTATTATTAGGTAAGATTTCTTTGGAATTAAAATATCCATCACACACAATATAAAATAATATTAGATTGGAGGATGGCTGGAAAAAGAGAAAATACACTAATCAGCTAAAAGGGAAAAATGGCTAGAAGACATTTCCTGGTGTGTTCAGACCATGAGATGTCAGAGCTGCTAGGCCACGGGCTGTGTCCACTGCCTCCTGCAGCTCAAACTAACACCGACACCCGCTGAGCGAGCCTGTGAGGCAGGTGGCTGCAGAGCTGGGAGGGCGCTGGCCTTGCCCGAGAGTCTTCTAACCCAGCTGAAAGCAGGAAGTCCAGGGAAGAGAACATGGTCCACAAGATCATCCAAGGAGGCAGACTTTTCATTGGTCCTCACAGCACCTTGAGTGCCATGCCTGGAGGTGGCACCCGCCATGACAGTCACCAATACCCACGCACAGTGACAAAGTTCTTTCCTTCTCTCCTGTCCAGTCCTTCGGACTGTGCCCGGGAGGACACCTTGACTGGCTGTGTCTTTAACAACCTCTCACAGAATCCCTTTTTGTGCTGAGAGAATAGGCCACAGGCTTAGAGCCTTGGGCAGACCACAGAATCTAGCTAAACTTCTGTCTCCCATTTTCTTTTACTGTGGCAAAATACCTGAAATATAAAATTGACCATCTTAACCATTTTAAGTGTTCAATGGTTTTAAATACATTCGTGATGTTGTTAAACCATCACCACCATCCATTTCCTTATATTTTCATTTTGTACAACTGAAACTGCACCTAAATCAACAGTTGTTAAAGAGTGCCTCCCCATTCTCCCCTCCTCCCAGCTCCTGGAACCATTCTACTTTGCATCAGTCTCTATAGTCTTGACTACTCTAACTACTTCATATAAGTGGAATCATCTAGTATTTGTCTTTTCGTGTCTGGCTTATTTCACTTAGCTAATGTCCTCAAGGTTCATCCATGTTCTAGCATGTGTCAGAATGTCCCTCCCTTTTAGGGCGGAATAATATTCCATTGTATGAATAGACCACATTTATTTATCCATTCATCCATTGATGGGCACTTTGGTTGCATCCACACTTTAGCTAGTGCGAATGTTGCTATCAACATAAGTGTATAACTATCTCTTTGACACTCTGCTCTTAAATCTTTTGGGTACATACTCAGATGTGGAATAGCTGAATCATATGATAATTCTATTTTTAATTTCTTTTAGAAACCCTATACTGTTTTTCATAGAGGCTGCACCATTTTACCTTCCCACCAACAGTGTACCAAGGCTTCAATTTCTCCACATCCTCACTACATTTGTTATTTTGAAGGTTTTTTGGTAGTAGTCATCCTAACAGTTGTGAGGTGATAACTAATTGTAGCTTTGATTTGCATTTCCCTGATGATCAATGATGTTGAGCATCTTGTCATTGGCCATTGGTATATCTTCTTTGGAGAAATGTCTATTCAAGCCCCTTGACAATCATTGAATAGAATTGGTTTTTGTTGTTCTACTTCTGTAACATTGTTTATTTCATTCTACTTACTTTTATATTTACCTATCATTTATGACAAGTGATGCTGGTTTTTCATGTGTGGCAAATAAAATAAATTACATGGGTTTATTTAAGCAAAATAAAAATAACCTGAATTGAAATATGAAGTAGCTATTGTAAAGGTGGTGCAGAGACTTGGCAAAATCACAAAGCTGGTTTGCTGACAACTGAACTCTGGAAAGCTCAGATGTAAAGGAAACTAGGTAAGGAGGAGGGGAGAGGGAAGGGGAGGGGGAGGAGAGACAGAGAAGAGGGAGACAGAGGGAGGACATGGGAAGGAGGATGAGGAGCAGAGCATTTTGATTACAGGCCCCGAAGGCAGAGGAGAGTGGACAGCACCAGAGAATGCTCATAGTTCTTGAAAAGAGCTTTTGAAAAGAATATGTGGAAATTAATAAAACATACTATATATTTGGGCAAGTTGAAGGTACAGAGGAATTTCAAATATCCAAATCGGTGATGATTTCTGATAACTTTTACTGTCATGAAGAAAAGGGCCAACAGACAGGGGGACACCTCCCCATGCCGTTGGCACTGCCTTGGGAACCCCAGGACTTGGTCCTGTCCTCTTGCGATTGGAGCCACCTGGTTGGATGTGGGAGGAAGGAGGACTTGGGGAATCAGACTGCGAGTCAATATCATCAGCACCCATTTGTCCACTTAATGCCACATTGATTGATTTGTTAACCTTAAGGCCGCTGTCGAGGACGCTGGCTACTTTTGCCCACCCAGCACCTACCCAGCACTCTGCTTTCTGGTCGCAGCACTTTGGTTCTTCTTTGGGGGCTCACCCACTCTTGGCCCATGTGGTCAGGTGGGTGGGACTCCAAGGTAGGTCTGTGACTGAGACCCAGCCAATCGATAGATCCCCTCCACTTGGCCACAACTATTGGTTCAGGCAGGAGCAAGTTGAATGAGATCAGAGTCAACCTCAGGACTTCTGCTGGAACTTGAGAAAGAAGTTCCCTGTTC